CTCGTGCTAATTAGTCGGCAGGCGCATTCTTCCTTCCATTTGAGTCTGGGGTCCGTTTTGGGTACGTGGTCAATGGGTAGCGACCTCGCACTACCGGAATTACCTTTCCCCCAGTTACTGCTCATCCTGGTGGCTCTCGTCCAGACAGCTGGCTCACTTTGGGATTGCCTCCCCTTTCCCTTAAAACAACAGACTTAAACCAAGCACCAACGTTCCCAAACGCTCCTCACCTGGAGGGCACGGGCGGGGTACGGGAGCGTCCTGCGCGTGCGCGCCCCCGGCGTGCCGTGTGCAGCGGGCCGGGGCGCGGGGCTGGCGCGTGCGCGGTTGCCGGGGCGACGGGAACACAACATGGCGGCCTGAGGGGTAACGCTGGCAGCGGGGCCGGGGCGGGAGCGGCTGCTCGCCCGCCCGGCCTGGGACCTGCGGGACGGCGCGGGATGCGCAGTAAGGGGGCGCGAGGGAAAGCCGCGGGCCCTTCCTGAGGGGTGGCGGGGGCCTGGCGCCTCTGGGGGGGCCGGTGGTCACCGAGGGGGCCGCAGCCCCCGGGAGCACCCGCGCTGAGGGGGCCGTAGGTGTTCCTGTGGCCCCTGGGAACGCCGTCCCCACAGCCCGTGGGCAGCTCCTGGATCTCACTTGCCAACCGTGGTCCTTCTGCGTCCCATGACAGGGTGCGAATAGATCTTTGTCCCACTGCTGTGGAGCATCGCTCTGTCTGTCTGCTGGTCTCTCCAAGTGCTTTCTCGGGAATTGCTTCTACGTGTCTTTCCTTCCATCTCTTAGCATCCTTCTTCACATCATCCTGTGTCACACCTTGCACATCTGGCGTGTCTCTGAGTGCAATAATTACATGCCATGGCCTTGTGGCTTTGACTGAAGCTCAATTTCGTGCAGCTTTTTAAACTTCTTTGGATGCTTCTCCCTTCTCAGGTGCATCAGTGTCATACTTAAACATCATGGCTTTTTCTTCCTCAGCATCTTGGCATCTTTGTAACAAAGTGTCTGCTTTAGATTTTTATAACATCCTGTTTTGACTGTTGTAGTGCTGTCTTTTCTGTCATTTTCTATTGGACTTTTTAATTCCAAATGATGATTAATCTTCCATGCTCTCTAGTTACAGTGGTGTTGTCTTTGAATTCCATCACTTGCCCATAATGTTAATTTAGACTGTTCCTTATTTCCTAGGTTCTGTAGCCTCTTGCACATGAAACTGTTATTTTGTTGAACGATTCATGGCCACTTTTTTGGTGTTAGACGAGTTCACATTGCTACGACTTGTTCTTCCTAACCTTTATTTCCCTTTCCACTAACGATTCCAAGCCTGAGCATCTGTGTGTGCTGAAACGGAAGGGAGGGAAGGGGGAGGTTAGATAATATCTGTTACAGATGGCATGAAAGAACTGCTAACCAGTGATTAGGTCTCCTTCATTCAATGTTCTGTGCAAGGGTAATTAAAACACTTCCTTCGATTTCATCCTAGAAGCCTTCAGTCTTAAAATTTTTGACCTTTCTGTCCATCTTCATCTCTGAGTACCATAAATTCAGGTAATCTAACTGGTAATAAGTTTTGTTTTGTAGCTGTACTAAGTTTCATAGCTTACAATTGCTGGGCTGTGACCTGGCTGTTCTTGTTCAGGGTGTGTTTGAAGTCTGTTGTTTTGGTGGGGTTTTTTTGCTGCCTGGTCACTCTCAAAGGGTCAGGATGGTGCTGAAGTGGATTTTTAGGAATCTCCGGAAACCTTGGCTTGTGGATGCAAAATCAAATTTTGTAATAAATTGTTAGTCTAAATTTTATTTCATCTTATTCCATATAAACTCCTATGCTCTTATTCTTACAATGCCTGATTTTCTTTCAGCTGCTGATTGTTCAGAGCTTACATGTTGATTTTATGCTTCAAAGAGATATGCCAAATAACACTATTTTCATTCCTTATTCTGCACGTTGTTCAATTAATTGAAAGTATTCAGGTCTTTGCTGTCATTCTTTTCGCTGGGTGGCTCTCTCTTAAGTTGAAGGCTCAGTTGTTTGTTATGTGTGGAGTGTTTGTCTACAGAGCACTCTGTTGTAAAAAATTTTTGTAACAAGCTTTATATGCTTACATGAAAAACACCTTCAGTGCTGTAAGAATATTTTAAAGAGTGTAAAGGATTAGCTCTTCTTGCACTATTAGAATTCTTCAATTTAAAAGAGATCAAATTGTTTTGAGCCCTCCCCTGTCATCTGGACTTCTCTCGTAGGAGTAAAATACATGTATAGAAGAAAATACAAACAAACCCAAATTATATAAACATATACTATGTGACTTCTTTATATATATGAAGATATTTTCAAGAAATTTGAACAATAATGCTTTCCCTGCATAAGTACTTTGGTTCATTAACACTATGGCTGGTATGCCATAGACATTAAGATCTTATTTTCAGGTCATATGATTTTTTTTTTTAAAAGCCAGAGAATCAATTACTTCCATTTGAGAAAAGAAAAATATGGGATTGCCATTTATTATAATAAAAGAGTAGATCAACAAATAGTTAACTTATTTTGTGTCTGCCTTGGGTATTTTTTTTGTCACAAGGGTGGCTCTGTCATTATATGATCAAGTACAGTCATTGTGTTTCTAACTGGTTGGAGTATAAGTTGCTACCAAAAAAATCCATTGACAATTTCTCTTTGGAATTCTGTAAGAGTGGGGTTTAAATATTCTGAATTTATGATCTCCATCTTATATTTAGCAATTTAGATAGGAAATGAAAACTTACAGTGAGGGTGGAAAACATGGTGCAATGTGTGATTTCTGCTGACAAGGTGTGTTATTTCCTCAGTCCAGTTATCAAATAACAACCACAGGAATTAAACAGTCCCATGGTGCCCTCTCTGTTTCAGAGTCCCTGTTAGAAATTGCCTCCTTTACCCATAATGATTTTCAAATTCTGTTTCTGCTTTTAAAATAGTTCTGCATGTACATTGTCTGTATAAAGTGTATTAGAAGGTGTGAGTGATTTTAAACTACGCTGCATTTTCCAATTTTTCAAATTTAGGTGGCCTGATTAGTTAGTTTATGATGCAGCAGGATGGACAGTGATCAGAAAACCAAAGCAGCAGATGATAAAAATGAGAAGAGCAACCAACAATTTCACAGAAGTGCTGCTACTGTACTGGAGAAAGAGGGAAGGTTTACAAAGGGAAAGTTTCTACTAAATTAAAATATAAGCATTTGGCTCATAAGGAAACGAAACACCTTTTCGTTGTTTCGTTGCAGGGTTTTTTTTTTAACAGGGAGTAAGTGTGAAAGCTGAAGAGAAAAGAGATGAAGACAACACAAATTGATTGTTAGTTGGAAGACAGTGTTAGAATGCCCTTGCCTAAGTAACTTTTCCCTCTGAAAAGTTTCTTGGCAGGCTTTCTCTACTGCGAGGCTGTGTTTATACTTGTAAATTAAACATATCAGGAAATCTTGGACACAAAGAGCAACTGGCACGAAATGGCCCCCATCTCTACTAGCAAATTCTCTTATCTTCCAAAACAGAGCAGTGGGACAGAAACTGCTCGAGAACTGACCTTAGAAGGAGTCCTCACACCAGGCAAGGAAGGTGCCTCACAGAGTGCTGGTTCTCACAGGACAAATCCCTGCCAGGGACTGTTGTCACAGTAAGTAATACAGGCAGCTACACTGAATGTACTGCTGTGGACAGAGCTCGAGACTCCCACAGTTATTCTGACACCCATAAAGGGCTGAATGTGGTAAAAGAAGTTTCCTGCCCTGCCTCCCTCAAAATGACTGGGTTTGGATCTTCCTTGAATAATAAGACCATGTCAAAAGCAACAGCAGCATAAAGCTAACCAGAATTAGGTTTTGCTTAGATGAAATTACTGAAAAAATTATCAAGGATAGAATCTATAGATGCTAAAAATAAAATGAAATAGGAGGATGAAGTGGGTGAAGGTAACCAGGCACTGGGATTGGTAAGGAACAGTTAATCACAAAGCTGAAGGAGAATAAAGGAAGAAAGAAAAGAAATGTCAATTCTGATAGAAATTAGAAGACTGAAAAATTAATATAAATAAAGCTTTCTTCATAACTCTTATCTTACATGCTTCATCTTTTAAACTTCTGCAGAATTAGAATTGACTGAGTTTTCACATCCTTGTGTTTGGAGCACTTCATTGTCAAAGGCAAACATTATTTTAGTGCAAAACTCATACCTGAATTTAATATGGGAATAAAGCTTTAAAGTCAGAAACTGCTTTGCTTAAAAAAAAAAAAAAGCAAAATCAAAACCAAACAACAGCCCCCCCCAAAAAACCCAAACCAACAAATAACCCCTGTGTTAGAATAATGATTCCATGATACACTTGCTTTCCAAAATAATTTTATGTTTTCAGTACAGTATAAATAAAGGTTTGGAGATTTTGGAGGATTTTTTTGTGAGAGAAGCAAAGAATAAATTCAGATATGAGCTGCTAATGTGCTGCAGCAGGGTGGGAAGGGCTGCCTGCAGAGGAATCATGTCTCTGAGCAAGAAGGTGGTAGTTCATTGTCTAAGGATTACTGTATTTTACTTTCAGGAAAGTAGATTTCTGTAATACAGGCAGCAAAACTTCATTTACTGTTTTTCATTATATTTTTTCTCAAATAACTTATGTGTTCACAAAAAAACCCCACCTTTTATTTAAGTTTTCCATTAGTCAGCATTTAACAAATCAGTGAAGAATTGTTATACAGTCATTATAACAATTTCAAACATACTGAAACAGTGTATTTTTGTTTTTAGGATACCAGTTGGTAAGATAGGAGAGGGAGCATTTTCTGATGTCCTGCAGACACTGAGTCTTAGGAGTGGAAAGTACTATGCATGTAAACACATGAAGCAACATTTTGAAAGGTATGCATGATTAACCATAGAAATTCTCTGAAAATCTTACTTAAATTTGGTGGGGAAATACAGAATTAAGACTAAGTGAAGTTTTTTGAATGCTATGGTTTAAAAAGGTTTGCATGTGGTACAGAAAGGGAACTCTGCTGCTGATTAGGCAGGGCCTTCCCATTTGGCACTGGGGGGTTATTTCCTTGAGTGCTCCAGCTGATGTCAACCACTGCATTAAATGCTGCCTGGCCACTGGTTCAAGGGTAAGATAAGATGAATGTGGACCAAACAGTTGATTTCTGCCTTGCCAAATGCACTGAATGGACTTGTCCTGCTTTTCTTTTAACCGTAAATAATAATCGGAGGAGGAAATGTGTCAGTCCTCTCCCTGGAGAAAGCTTTATTCAGGCTGATTTAAATACTGTTTTAATGAAGGTATTTATCCTTAGTCCGTGTATAGCATTAGCTCTACATCATATTTGCATTTATATTTAATTACATCCATCAGCTAGACATTATATGGTCACAAAATAGGTGTTTTTTTATCAGTTAGGAAAATAGAGGAGAGGGCTGGGTGTAGACATAGACTTGACATTCTCCTCCAAGTATGTAAGTGCCAACCAGTGCCTCTTGGGTTATTGACTTTGTATTCTCAGTTAAATATAGTGAGTTCCTAGTGAAATCACTGGGAATGACTCATTTGTACAAAGTTAAATGGGACATTTTGCTCTTAGGTGAGATTTCACAATGTAACTCAGAGCTTCAAAGATTGTATGTTAAAAAAAAGAAGAGGACTCAAATATCTTCAAGTAATGTGGCTTCTGATTCTCTGTTGTGTTGTTAGAGATCTGTTGGTCCATTTATATGTTTCCTACAACTGACAGAATTGTCCAATTTATGATCAAAACAGTATTTAAACCATCTCCTTAACTTTATCAAGGGCAGATGTGTACAACTTAGTGGTAGGGCTCAACAAGCAGACTCTTTCATGTAGCTATCTAAAACATCTTTTAGGCCTTTAGCCCTTTGATAAATTGACTGACAGATTCTTTTGATGAAGTGAACTCTTTTAGCAAAGATAACAGTGTTTTAAGCTGAACCTGCCCATAAAAGGTATTTCTCCTCACTTCAAAGTGGAAAATTTTGTTCTGGTGTTTCGCTTTAAGTCTGACTGTGCAAAGGCAAATGTGTCCTGCTCTGATCCATTCAACAGTGTGCAAAGCTCTTTATTTCCTGCATCCTCCACAGTGCTTCTGTAGCATGGTTTTATTGTTTGTTTGTTAAAGTCCAGGAGGGTAAAAAAATAATTACACAGTAGTTGAATAATGTCTGTTTTTCATGTAAGAGGTTAATTTTAAATGTTACATTTGGCAAGGCATCATGCTGAGCAATGTTTGGAATGTATGCTGCACCAGCACAGAGGAAACAATATCATACATACTATTATGCAACACAAAATTCCTGCCAGGTAGCTCCTTGGCGAGGTAACTGGTGTTGGAGCACAATACGTTACTACATTTCTTGTTTGGGTAAGTCCAGCTACTCCAGGCTGCAAGAAGGATTAAAGCCATTTATTAATTACTGATTTGCTCAGTAAAGAAACAGCAGGCAAACCATTTGTCAGGTCCTGCATTTGAAAGTTCAGCGACAGACTAGAGTGGAGTAGGTTCTGACAGTCTCGTGGCAAGGAACCAAGACAATTATAATCCAGTCCCTGACTCCAAGTCAGTCTTTTCAGTTCAACTTCAGTATGAAACAAGGGAATAATCTGACAGAAATACAAGCAGTAAGGAGGCCGAGTCCACCTCCTACTATCTTTATGCTTACATGAAGTTGTTTTGTAAGTATGATGCGTTCGTTTCTTTCTTCCTTATTCCTTTATTTGAACAATATCCAGTAACTTTTGGGTCTAGAGACAACCTGTAGACACTTAACCAGCTTTTTATTTCAACAGAAAAGAAAAAACAATACATTTCTCAAATTCTGAAGTCTACATCCCTGCCTTTGTTAAGAAAGTGTGGTGTAGCTCTCACTTTCTCTGTCTCTTTTGCAGCAGACAAAAAATATTTTAACATCAGTATTAAAATTACAGACTAAATATATGTTAAGCATAGTTAAATTTCATCTCATAATATGTACTACTTGCTGGTGATTTCAACCCATGTTCCATATCCAGTTTAGTGCTTTCACTGCACATCCTGGCTACTGGGACAGTGTGTTGGTTAGGCACACTCAGAGCTTATCTGCTGGAATAGGCTCTGGTACTTCAAGGATCTTGGTTTGACTTGTCAGTTTGAACTAGGGATCGAGGCAAACTATTTGGCAGTGTCATTTCACAGATAACTTTACAGAAACCCCTTTGCAAGTAGTAAAAGTTTAGGTCTCAGAATGAGACAGCAGCTGAGCTGTGCATTTGGAAAGAGATCAGCCAGTGATGAAGTTGGGTTCCTTATGCTCATTAGGCACTTCAGTGTCTTCTGGGGACATGTTCCATCTCACAGAGTGATCACGTTTTATGACAGCATTTACTCTCCATTGCTTTGCAACAGCAGACATAGCCTTCATTATTCAAATACTTGACACAAAACTTGTCAACTGCTCTAAAATATGTTATATTGCCCTTCAGGCTGTCTTGTTCCTCTGCTCGAGGCTCGGGTGCTACACTGTTAATGACAGGCCTGTTTCCTACAAACACGTGGGAAGCCGGTAACAGTGTCAGCAGCTTGGCTTTCTGGAATTCTCAGTCTCAGCTGCCGTGTTGTTACCCAAGTGTAACCCAGCTGGCCGGCCAGCTCACAGAGCTCCTGCTCTCTGTCTGAGCTGAACTGCAGATTGTACCCCCACCTTTTACTGCCTGGGTTAACACAGCATTGCAGGGCAGATGTGCTGTAATGCAATTATCTTACAGGGAAAACTGAAGACCTAAAGCTGTCTGCCTCTGCAGGGCAGTGAAATGGAAAATAAAGTGTCAGATATATTATATCATGATTATACTTAAAATTGCTGTTGTCAGCAAAACAGTGATTCCAGTCAGATACTCATTTCCATGCAATAGAACACTACTGGTGATCTAACTAGAAAGTATCTTCACATATTGGCTGTAATGGCTTTCCTGCCTTTTATTGTAAAACTGTATCAGTTAATTTACTGGAAATTTCTTGTTCCTGAACAGGGTGATATGCCCAGAAGACATCTTTCTTGAGTAAATCAGTTAACTTCTGCAGTGGACACTTCAAATAGTATAAACTAAAATTATGATACCTCAGACTTAAGTTTAAAAACTTCTATGAGACAGGATCAATTAAAAATGAAAATGTCCATTTTAATACTGGTTAAACTAAGTACTTTTTTCTATGCTGTGTACAAATCAACATGTAAGTTTTATTTCTAGGTTAAAGTCTCCTTACTTGTTTCTGCAGTGATAGAAACACTGGCTATGTGAATTTATGGACATGGATATTTATGAGCTGATAAAAGGTATATAACATATGCTTAAGAAGCACACAAATTCTCTTTGTGTAGATCACAAAGTGGAATTAATTATGTTTCACTTGGTTGTTCACTGTTACAGATTATAAAACTCACAGGGAAATTTTGTGCTGTACTGCTTTTCCCTTTAGCTCTTGTCAGTGGAATATACCCACTTGTTTAAGGCATGAATGCAGGTTTCTCATCAGATCCATGGCCATCTATTCTACAGTCAAACAACCCTGACTGCAAAAGAGAAAATAATTGCTTTATGTAACAAAAAATAAAACTTAAACAGGTTCTTGTGGGTCTCTTCCAACTTTGCATATTCTGTGATTCTGTGATTTGTTAGGGCAGGACTTGAAGTGAGGTAATAAGAAAATTATTCCCATTTTTTTCAAAACTATTGAACCAATGAATAACGATTTTCAGTTTTTATATCTAGTAAAAATGCCTTTTACCAAGTTTTCTTTATAAAATAACATCGTTCCCTGAAACCACCATTATTTAAAAATTCTGGAGCTGTTTGTGGAAGCATGTCAGAGACCACAAAGCTTAAGGAGGAGTTCCTACAAAAAAGTTTAGAACAAAATCTGATTTAAAACCAAATCTTGTATAAACACTAACAGAGAAAGTTACAGCAAATGAAGGGGCATATACTTACAATTCATTATCAAAAGAGGATTATTTTAAATGAATAATTAAGAATTTTTAATGTCTTAACAATTGGAAGATTATTTTAAATAACTGAGCACACAACTGTCATTCAGTGTAACAGAACAAAGACTTGCTCCCGAACATGACATTCGTGACACTGAGCATTCAGGTCTCTAACAAAAGGAGTAACTCTCTTTCTGACCTACATAAGAATGTGAGATTAGAATACAGTTGTTTGCTGATGACTGAAGGAGACATTAGTGTTTGCTGGTTTTAATTAGACATTTTGTTTTTACAGGGTAGATTTGTTATCCTGAGAAGTCAGAGTAATTGCATATTTATTAAAAACAATCCTGCATCTTCTCCTTCCAGGAAAGATACTGTACTTCATTTATGAAAAATCAGAATGTTTAAATTTGTTCTTTAACTGCCTTTTTTTTTTTTTTACAACAGAGTTCTTGCATTCATTTGGTTACATTTCTCAGTGTTTCTCTCCTTTTCATGTGAAAAAGCCTGCTATATCAAGCATTGTATTCAGATGAAAATTAGAATCATAGTTTCAGTATGTTCTGTTTTTGTTGTTTTGTTTTTCTTTTAAATACAGTTTTTATCGAAGTCAGGTTTTCCATAAGAAGATTATCTTCCTACCACTTAGTTTTAATGACCTCCATTTCTATGGCACGGTGAATCAGTTAAAAATGAAATCTGTGTTCAATAGTAATCTGAAATGCTGCAGTTAGGGGGTATCTGAACATTAATCTGGGTCTACCTGAATTTCTTTATATCCTGGTTTTGTGTCTGGACAGTGTTTCCCATGATACAGTGTCTTTTTTTCATGTTGTATGAGGTGGTAGCACATGGGGTGGAGCTTGTCAAATCATGTAATAAAACAGGAAAATGAACAACAGATTCCTATGGAGATTATAATAAATACCCTAAAAAGTATTTTGATATTCTGAAGTATGCAAGCATTTAATCTGTCTCAGGTATAGTGTATTTTTAAGAAATTAATTTTGGAGTTTAAAAGTAAATTTTCATTTACTACAGTTTCCTATGGGGCAGAAATAGTTTTTTATCCATTTCCTCCCCAAACAACTCTAGTTGTGGCTTCTTGCAAAGTCAAGAAATGTAACAACAATAAATACAGCAAAGGGTCCAGGTATGTAATTAATCTGGAAAAATAATCTTATTTCTGAGCCAGAAATCTTATTTCCCAGCCTTACTGACTGAGGATCTTTACACAACAATGGCAAGTAGAAGGAGCTCCTTTGGAATTTTCAGCAGAGTGATTTGAAGGAGTGCATTACTAATTTGTAGAACAATTAAACTGTTCATTAGCGATGCTCTGTCACAAAACCATTTGCAGAGGGTACAAAAGTAGTTACATTTCAGAGGAGTTGTAGTCTTTGGTAAGTTTCTACAGTAACACCAATGCCTGTCATTTCCTGACTGCTCTGTCTTGCCAAATCAGGTTTAATGTAGGTGCAGAACAATTTAAAAAATCTTTACAATAGAAAGATTTAGAGGCAAGCATGGTTTGTACAATATTTTGTAATGAAGAAAAACTTGAAGCAGGAGTTGACTGAAAATGAATTTTTTAATTTAACAAGGTGTATGGAGACACTTGTGTATTAGAACAGGTCACTGTAATGCTACTAATGTGGAAAGTTGATACTTTTGGTTTTTTCCTTAATAAACCAAGAGATCCATGTTACTTCAATCAAGACAAGGCTATTGGTCTTTACATGAAGTCATAATTCTCTTGCTGTTAATTTACAGTGGAATCACAAGTCATATAATAACTGAAGAAGAGTTTTGCCCTTTGTTTAATCAAGAGCAGTTTGGTCATTTAAAGCAACGTAAAAAGTATGTCTCAGAGAGAGGTGTGGGGGATGCCTCAGGTGAAATGACAGAAGACTCAAGTGCCACTGCCTTAGGATTCACTTCACCATTACTGCCAAATAGGGTTTCTCTAATGATAAATTTGGAAGCAGAGGACATCTGCTCCAGGTTCTACTAGTGAACTGTAATGAAAAAGCAATTGAGCATGACTTCTTTTTATGAAGGCCTGATTTCTTAAATACTAGTAATAATCCCAATTGATTTGAGTAGCAGCATTTTATAAAATCTTTTTTATTATAAATGACAAAAATCCTGACGTTTAAAGCACCATTTATCTCCACGGGGGCACTACCACTACAATTCCCAATGTAAGTGGTACTGTGTTCGAAGTGCTTTGTGATCTAATCCTGCTCAGTGGATTATGTGGCTGCCTGGAGGAGCCCTGTAATCAGTTGGGAACACAAGTCCCGCTGGCTGCTAGGACTGGTGGCCTCAATGAGTTACTGTCCTGATAATCTCCCTCCTCCTCCCCAGCCAATTACTCATACTACTGTCATCAGGCAGATCAGTACCTGCTTTGTTTTTCAAAAATGTGATCATTTCTGCCTCCCTTGATGGCATTGCAGCGTTACATAAAGGCATTACAGCAAGATTAAAAGGCCTTTGGAGCCTATAAAAGAAAAAAGCTGAGCAGTTACTGAATGGCTCTGAAAAATAGATAAATTTTATAACTGTAATTATTACCTAACAGCAACAGCAAGCTAAACTACACTGGTTAACCTTTAATTTGCAATTCAAATGCGAACCACAGTCATTTAAGCACTGCAGTAACTTGAGGTGATTGATATGAATCTTGAACCTTAAGGACAATTGCTTTGTGTAGAGAGGAAATTAGATGTTCAGAAGTGAAATATTGCAGTTCTGGTGGAACTTGGGGGAACAGATACTGCAATAAATACATGCAGTAAAAACTAAGGCAGCTTACAGACTCTTGAATTGACAGTTGTTAGCTGAGCTATTCTGGTGCACACTGAAATCTAAATTATGTCTGAAGTTGAGTGGAAAATGGATTACAAAGCTAGCTATAAATGACAGAAATAGTATAATCGAAAAAGGTGATATCAGTGCATCTGTGGAAGCTGAAGAGTAGGGTATTTGCATTCTGTTCTTTACTAAAAAGGACTTACACAACTTGAAATTTTATTCTAGGAAGGAGAAAGCCATTGCCTGAAAAAAAATTAAGAACAACGTGTACCAGTTATGCAAATCTCGAATGCACACATAGGTAAGAGACCTGGTTCAGCAACAGCTTTACAGCACATGTAGCATATATTTAGTTCAGGGTATTTCTAAGCAGAGACATAGAACTGTCTGGGGCAGCAGCAGACACCTGCAGGGAGAGAAGAGGCCATTGCCCAGATGCATCTTTGCTTGCAGCAGAGCCCTGGAAGGCATCAGGCAGCCCGAGCTGCTGCCAGCATCCCAAAGGAGCTCCAGGACCTGTGGCAGGAAGCCCTCCTGAGAGGGGGTGGCCCTTGCAATCCTCAGGTAGTCCTAGTGGGAGCAGAAGCAGAAAGCCTGGCATCCCCTTCCTGGACTTGCCTGTTCCCCATTCCAATACCTGTTGGTGTTGTCTCACCACAGTGGCAAAACTAATTTTTTTACTATGCTGTTGATAAGTTTGAAAAAACTGTTAATTTCTCTAAGTATTTTTTTTTTTACAAATAACTGGAAGCACTGATGTTTATCTTTTTACTGAATTCTTCTCTCTGGTGTGTTTATATTACTACAGAAACAGGATATTTCAGAGAGATGTGAAATCAGAAAAAATAATAAAGGTAATTAATTTCATGTGAGGATATTTAACTCTGAGAAGGTAATGTTTCTTTATGAATAAAGGTGCAGTTTTAAAAAGAATACATACACAGTTACCTCTAATACTGTATTCCTTATCTTGGGGAATGAACCAGCAAGCTTGTTACTAGCTAAAACCTGAAATAACTCAGGTGTATTACAGCCTGCATGTATTCCCTCCAATCTAAAAACCTGTTCTTATCCTCTATTAATATATATTTTCCTTTGTGTTAACCTAGATACAAGTAGTAGGGCTCAGTTCTGGAGTTCTTTCTTTCTACATTCAATTCCTACATTTAGTGGAAGTTATACAAAAGTGAGAAGACATTGGCTTTCAGAAGATTTCTTCATTGGAATAATTTCTCCTGACAGTTTCAGAAGGTTATTCTGCTAAAAGTTTGAAAAGCAAGGCTTTTTAAATTCAGTTTATGCAACTTTATTTTCTGGAGGTAAATTTTTCTTTTAAGTCACAGAAGTGTACAGGAGAAGCCAAAGCCACCTATTATATCACTGCTAAACAGAAGAACTCTAATAACTTAATCTAGATGTCCTATTTAGCAGCCTTCCCTTCAGTAATAGTCCATATGCTCTTCAATTAACTCTTAGGTCTTTCTTTTAATGATGTACAGAATGGTACATGCACATACTATGGGACAGAGATTACCTTCAAGCCTGGAGCTACTTGCTATTTAAATGGTATTTACTTGCTATTTACTGCTATGATACCCCTGGTATTTTGGAAAGTTTCTTCTTAAAGTAATCTGTCATTTCTTTTATGATGACTTCACACATTTAAGGAAAATACTTGATTGAATATTTCACTGTTCGTAGTTTGTTGAAATTCATTACTTGTTTTTGCAGCAGAATACCTTGAAGTTGGGAGATTTTGGATCCTGTAGGGTATCTGTTCTCAGCAGGCACATATGGGCTGTGCCTCCCCACGCTGGTACCAAACACCTGAATGTTTCCTTGCAAATGGCCACTAAAGTTACAAAATGGGTATGTGCAGTGCTGGCTGTGTTTTCTGTGAAATCACAAGGTACAGTGTTCAGTGGAAGGCTTTTCTTATTGTTATTCAAGGTAATCAAAAGTAAATAAATTAAGGGCACGTGGTAACATGATCTTCGTTTCCATGGATTTGTGGAAGCTTCTTCTGTGCTTAATCTGCAGGGTTCATGAGGCAGTAATCCGGTCTGGCCTGGCACTCTCTTCACCCTATGGCAGGTTAGTAATAAAAGCAGTTGCATATTCAAGAGAACATAGTACAACCAACATTACAACCATTTTATTTACAAAGAAAATAACATTTTTGAACACTTTTTTCCCCCCAATGACTTAATATTTAGTAAAATTTTACTTTTTCTGCTTTTCTCTGTATATAGTATGGCTCATTTCCTCTCATGAGCATCACTAACTATCCTCAGTGTAGTTAATACACTTGGTGATGAAATATTTCCCTCTTTTTTGACTTACTAATAGTTTTTGCAAAACCAGAGGAGATTAGAGAATACACTCCCTCTGATTTATGACTTTGATTTCTAGTATAGTGCATTTAAGACCCTGGTGCTGTTTAAGACCTCGTGTCCTGGGATATTTTGAAATCAGATTCTGATGAAGGAAGAGTTCAGGAAAACCCAGATTAAACTCCTTTAAGCTTTTTGGTGATGATGAAACTATAACTCAAAAAATTTGTCACTAGTCTTCAAGAAAAAAGGAAAAATAACCACCATGAGTATTTCTCCAATATCTTTGTACCCTAGCAACAGCAGCAGTTCTTCTTTATTCTCCTCCCACACTGCTGTCTATGATATGCAACCAGGAGTGATAACATTTGCTTTGCTTCTTTCCTCCTCCTCCACATGGCAAGTGCAGCTGCTGCCATCACCATCACATTAAATGACAACCATTATGCTTTGCCTGCTAACTTGTAGAAACAGTTCTGCTTCGGCCAGAAAACTGTTAATAGAAAAATCCCAAATGTGGCAGAACTCTTGCAAAGTAATTGGGACCAAAAGCCTTAAAAATGCCACGTTGTTTCATTTCAGTTTGAATCAGGTGGGCTTTGAAGTTTGGCAAGAAAATTACACACTGCAAACTCTCTAAGTTTTCTTAGGGCAAAAAAAACCCTTAAAAATATTTCCTTGTAATTTTAGCTTAATGTAAAAAATTTCACTTCTTGCAACCACTGCACATTTTCAGAGACCTTATAGGTGTGCTCAGAGAGAAATGAGGGATGTTTATTGGAAACTGCCAAATTAAAGAGATAGTCTTGCCAAGCTAGAGGATGTTATGGACAGGATTGTTTCATTTTCAGTGTATCATGCAGTTGTTGCTGTTCAGTGTTTGTATAAGCCTTTATGCTTTACACGGCATTGTGTAAGAACTTTTAGTCTTTTATTCAGCCACACTGATCTTTCAAATCTTAGTTTCCCTCTTTCTGTTCCTTCTAAATCGTGATTTCTGGATTGCACTTTTTCATGGCTTGCACAGTTGTTCTTCACTATGTTACAGTTTTACATTCAAAGACAGCACATTTTTTTGTTCACACAAGCTACTCCCAGCTGCTTGTCTTGATACAGCTGCACAACGTGAATCAGATCTTTTCTCTCCTTCCTCAACTCAAAGCTTTATGAAGACATTCAGAGTAGTGTGCAGCCAGCTGTCTGATTGAATTTGCAAACAGTTAAAAAGAAGTTTACCCTGTCTACAAAGAGGGCCAAATGATTTGCTTTCAAGAGTCATATGGTGCTGCTGAAGTGTTTCTTAAATTATAAGCCCAAGGAAAAAAGTAACATGTACAGGAAATGAATGGTAGTGGACCTGACTAAAGTCAGATTGCTCTGTTATGATAACAGTGTTTTCAAGGACTCTATACAAGTTTTATATTAACTGAGGATCAAGCTCAGGAATGCAGTTCAAATTACCATCTTTCCAGTATTCCTGCTTGCAGAGAACCTGTTTGTTAGGAATAGATATGTACTTCTATGTGCATACATAGCAAGAGGGACTGCTTGACTTGCTGTCTTAAAATGAGGAAACCCCATTGTCTTCTGGGATCTGCCACTTTACTAGAAGTAAACAAAATCCCAGATCCATTGTCCTTCACCAAGAGGGATGTTCTCTTTACATATTTTACCCAAACCGGTGAGGAGAGTTTACAGCTACAAGTTTCTGTTTAAAAACCCAAACTACTCTTTCCATCCAAACCTGCAGTTGTGTTGCTCTGCCTCTCACGTTATCCATCAGTTGTTGGTAGGTATTATTAAACTGTCCACAGATGAGTCATTCTAACGTGTTATCTTCTTTAGAAATGATTTTTTTTTTTTTTAATCAAAGTGGCAGCTATGCAACTAAACTAGTTTAACTGTGTCTTCTCTAGTGCTAACACCATCTCTTACCTTGCAGTTTTCTTGGACCTGATGAGCTGGACCAAATTTCAAAAATCCACATTATAGGCACTCTTGCTAAAACAACTCTCAAGAAGTTCAAGCAGTAAGTATAAACTCCCACAGTTATTAATCTCACTGTTTAAATATCTACAGCAGAACTGTACAGCCCTGTGCAAATTCTGCTCCGGGAACCACCACAAACACCTCATTCCGTGCTGACCCAAGAGCAGCGTCTTCTATCCCTACCCAGAGAGAGTCAGACCAGAGAAAATCTGAGCCTATGTCAGTCTTATTTGGCCTTTTATTTCCATAGTATCTTTAAGGCCAATGATGTAACATTTTAGGAAAGAAAACATCTTTTTCCTAAGTACTACTTACTTGTCCCTAATAAATGATTACCTAAATCTGATGAATTCTTTCTTTTCAGTAAATTGTAATCCTCTCTGAATATGCATGAATAATTTTTTCCTTAGCTTGCTTAACACAGGTCAAGAATTTCTAGTTTTGATTTCCCCTTTAAAAAAAGGAAAAGGAAAACCTCCTCTAGCGCACAAATTGACTGCCAAAGGTTTCTCTCTCCTGCATGCAATGATAAAATATGACCACAATTAGAGAACTGCTGCCCATCAAGCATTACAGCACCCTTATTTTCAGGAACTCTGGTGACTTCATATCACTTCATTCTTGAAGACTAAAATCAGAAAGTTTGGGGAGTGCTGTCCTTACTTCAGCTGGACTGAAATGAAATTTGCTTCCAGGGCGAGTTCTTGGCTTGCAGTACAATGAATGTAACTCAAGTCAATGTAATTGTTTGCCTTGAGTCCAAACCTCACTTAAAGCACAACTGATGTTTTTCTCTACTCTTTCCCCCAGACTTTTTAGGGCAGCTGATACACAAGCTTTGACCGTGCACAAAAAACTAAGATTATTAAGAAATACATAAGGGCGAGTACCTCCGTATTTGTGCCAAATTCCAAAGGCAAGTTTAAGACAGGTAGTATTTAAGTGGAAGAATTGTCAGCCCATTTAGAGAAAGTAATTTGTAGCACTGAGCTTGTTAGCTAGAAACAAATGTTTAACTTAAGCTGATTACTTGGGTTTATTCCGTCTGCCTAAACACAGATCTTTATTTGGTCTGATGCCTTTCCCCCTCCCCCCAAATCCCTGACAGACATGAGTTAGAATTTAGAAGCTCTGATACCCCATAATCCCTTCAGTAGACTTTTGTCAGAGTTACCGTTATTTAAAGGGTCAGCTCCGCCTTTATTTTTAAATATCACCATCCTGGTTTTGCTGTCTGCCTTTGGCTTAAAGAGTTTGCAGATGAAGTTGTGGCAGAGACAGAAAGTGTGCTTTTGCCTTTTCAGGGCTTCAGTCTACATTTCGAGCAAATTTAGATGATATCTGGGAAAATCCTAAGCTTTTTTTTGACACAAAATAAAAAATTAAGATCTGATTAAAAATTCTGGCAAACTAAAACTTTGTTTATATACCAGCTATGTGAAAAAACTCAACGTATTCACTCTTAAGGGTTTGCTGTATTGACAGGGTGAGATGGAACTTAGTACTACATCAAAAACTTTCAAATACAGGTTTTTCTCAAAAAAAACCTTGCTACAGTAGCAAAGAAAAATTATAAATTATTTTCTGCTTTGCAGTCAACCTTGAAAGCATGAACTCTCCTTCCATAGGAGAAGCTACTTTTTCCACCAGTTTAGGTCTGGAGTTCATCAATGTAGGCTTTGTAAGGAGTTCCTTTAGGAAAGATGGCAAGAAACATCAAGTGAGGCAAGTCATTTTTATAAAAGAATGAGCTGAAATAGTATTTGGCCAAGGTTTGGGGTTTTTTTCTCTGATTATTTGGATTTTCTCTTTTAATTTTATTCCTTAAGATGTTCTCAGAAAAAACCCTGAACCTTGTTTATTTATTTTAAAAGCATTCTCTTAGGAAAGTCCAGGGAAAAAAAACAAACAACAAAACAAAATGGATCTCCTCTTGGAGATTTACCAAAATGAAATTCTTCTGGAGTAGCCAAATTGACTTCCTGTTCTACTCCTACACTGCACTCAGTTTTCTGGGCACCTAAGGAAAGCGGTGGAAACCCTGTGTTCCAGTCTGTTAAATTTATTGGATCAAACATTGAGGTGTAGGCTCTCACTCGCCCATTGAAGCGTATTTCAAACTTCTGTTGCTTCCTCAACAGTCTGAGAAACAGAAGGCATTTAAGTCTTCCCTGAAACATTTCCACTCGCCTGCTTTAGAAGGAAGAGTGAGGAAAAGCACGGCTGTGCAGTGAAGAGAGACCCAGTCGTGCTTCTGCTGTTAAAGATCTAACAAGAACAGCAGTGCCTGGTTTTTTGTTGCTCTGACAATTTGTAGGAAAACCCCACAAGGTTTGAGGGCTGCTCTCCTATCATTTTGGTATTCTGTTCCTGAAGTGGGTCAATATTTAATTAAAGCATTGTTCTGGCAGAGCACAGAGCATTCTGCATTTAACTTCCTAAGTATTTGTTCCTTTTAGAACCTGGTGGAGGAGGAGGTTGGTTAAAAATAACATGAAAAGGATTCTTTGAGCTCAAGTATTAGGAATGGAATGTTATCTACAGAATGTAAGTTTTCAAATTACATTACCAATGTCAGCAAACTGCTGTACTTTTTTTAGATTTAAATTTTATTTCTTTTTTGGTCAGCTCTAGAAATTATTCTCCTCCTGTATTCAGCAACTTCCACCTCAGGTTTTACTGAGATTCTGCAGATTGTGCAATCATATGAGATACTTGGTTTTGATGCAGTTTCTGTAACTGTTGAATATTTTTATGTAACTATAAGCTAGCTAAAAGCTAAACCAACTTTTTATCTGATTCAAAAGCAAGTAAAATTTACTCATAGTTTGCTTCAAGCCATTGATCTAAACTTTAATCAGAAGTCTTAAGAGGGACTGATATTGCAGCCAGTGGCTTAAAAGCACAGTGAAGGCATGTAGCTCATCATACTTCAGAAATTTTGCACAGTAAACAGTAACAATTTAATAGAATGTTAGTTTCCTATTGCTATAAAAGGTAAGAGTTAAAGGGAAACATCCTTATCTTCCTTGGAAAGAATCATTCTTCCAGCTTGATACCATTGATTTTAAAACTCCTGAGATCTAAAAATTTGCATTAATTAATTTGCAATACTTAAGTTTGGTGATGTGTTCCAGAACAGTTTTGTTATTTAGAAAACAAGAGTCTGTGCAAGTCATACTCACCTGGGGGGTTAAAAATCTTCTGCCTACCAAGTGTTTATGGAGGCCAGGTTTGGCAAATAACTTTTTTGGGTTTTTTTATAAATTATAGAAGTTAGTCTGCTCATAATTGGGAAGTGATCAGCGTTTTTTTCCATAACCAAACACCGGGGTTTGGTGCTGCTGTTCAAAAACCCAGCCATGAGCAGGAGGCAAAGGGTGTGTTGTGAGAGAGGCACCATGAAAAACACACTGGGGAGCAGAGCACATCACATCCAAGCGTTAGGCATCAGTTTGAGATTACTGCTCTAAGTTCAAACTATTTATTTCTAATCAGTTAAGATGCAGCTCAAACAATGCAGTAAAATATAGGTTAACAAAAAGATTTTGTAAAGATACAAGTCATCTAGAATAAAAGTTATGCCCATTATGCTCTCATTACGCTCCTTTTGTTGTGGTTTGTTGGTTGGTTGTTTCTTTCAGAAGAGGCCTCTCAGCACTTTTAAGGTTCTTTTGTGACTGGATTAGATCCTATTCCTTGTTCTACCTTTCAGATTCTGGGCAACTTTGAGCACACCCGAATTCCCCAGAATGTGGGGAAGCTCACGAGACTCAAGTTCTTTATGAGTCCTTTTGACATCTACTGCTTAAAAGCACTTGTCTGTCTTATGTTTATCTTCATGTTTTGAAGAAGGTATTATTTTCACATACTGTACTGAGGATCAATGTGACATTTACTAGCAGGTTCTTTAAAATGTGAAAATATTCACAGGGTAAATGTGGTGGTGCATACTGTGGGAGTCATTTTTTTGTATTTATTCAAATTTGACTATCCAAGTTAAATATTGTGCACCTGCATCACGTACCTTTGTTCAATTTATTCTGTTTGTTCATAGCGAACTTTCAGAATCTCAAGAGCAAGAATGGAAAAATATCCCACCCTGGCAAGAATTCTTGTAAAATAGGGCTACAGCACTTAAACAAGGCTCTGCAGGGAAACCTGTACTGCTGCTACTCGTCCTAGGTGTGCCAGAGGAAGAGCAGATTTCTCTTACTAGGACTGAACAAATACATAAGCTGAGTTTTAGTGGAGGAAGTGCTCTGCACCAGTAGAGTGAGAACATCGAAACAAAGGGAGAATTAAACAGCAGAACACAGTGGTACAGGTAACTGCTCTTTCTCATTTTATTAAAACCCATGTGGATGGATGCTGCTTTCCTCCAGTCCCAAGCAGAAAATGTGCTCCTGACCACGGTGTCTCCCAAGTGCAGTGAGGGTACATAAAACTACCGTGACTGGATGAGTTTTCCTGCTCTGTTACATGTTCCAGTTAATCATCTCTCTACTTTGTCCTGCTTTTATGTTAGCACCTTATACTGACGGAGAACTTCCACCATAAGGCAATCCTGTATTTGTTTGAATAACTACCACAGGTTTCTATATATATTAAATAGGTTTATACATATGTATATATAAAAGAAAGGTGTGATACTACACTTAGGAAATGGAATTAAGGACTGCAAGTCTATAGGCAACACAGTGTAACAGCAGCCTCAGACTTCTTACCTTTGGAACTCTTGAGCAGAAGGTGCCACGAGCTTATCCAGTCTTTTTTCCGTAGAGGAAAATGGTGAGTTGCTTAGTGCTAATATGTCTGGAGCTGAGCATAGTGTGCAGCAGTAAAAATGATGGTCTGAAAATGGGTAACTTACTGGATCCAAGGGAGCTTGCTCTCCACTGTTGTTAATTCCTTACAAAAAAACAGAGGACAAATCCTACTACCCACATTTGACAGATTGTTTCCACTCTAAGAGCTCTCTTACCTAGCAGGAGGTCAAAACTCAGATTAGCAGAATATGTTCCTGATAGAGATGTATTAATTGTGTTGGTAGCTTCCTGTAATCTTTTTCTAGAAGCCTCAAACCACAGATGCTGAAATTTAAGTATTTCAACTAAAAAAAAAAAAATTCCCTCAAATTGTGTTTGCACAGTTTGGTACCTTCCTGATTTCAAAAGTGTTATTGCCAGTTTCCTTTCATAATTAATATATCAGGTAGGTGATTATTCATATGCCAGGAAAAATACAAAGTGAGAATTCTCGGTAAGTTTTAACCTGAAGAGAAGAGGCTACCACAGTGACATCTTGTATGTTATCACATACCCTGTATCTGGGGCGGTCCGGCTGTTATCATGAAAATGGCAATGTCACATTTTTGCTGTGAAAATTGCAAATCTGAAGTAAGTGAAGGACCATGTTGGAATTTTGTTTCATTTCTTTTACACTTTCAGGTGGATCTTACACAGTGTGGCACATACAGTGCTTCAGGGATATTTATTTCATAACAAGTTCTTTGCTGTTAACCCTCTGGAGACAATTTACGCTTCTCTGGCAGTTGGATGAATAAGCAAACCTGAGTTTTCCCACCTGCTTTATAGTTACAATACATCAAACTTTAAACTGCAAATTGGCAAGTATTGTTCCTACCCTCATTCTGTCAGCTAGAATTCCATATTGAGATTATTTGTGTACCACTTATTTTTTTTAATGTAGTAGGAAAAAGTTTATTAAGAGCTGTATCTACAGTAGAACTCTAAAGTTCTTTCCCGGTAAGTTATTAGTATCCTATTTATTCCTATAAGATTTTTTTTCCCTATGGTATAGAGTGTGGCACAAGCAGTTCAAACTTCCAGATGATTGCCCAAATAGTAAAGAAGAAAAGAAAACGCACACAATATTCCTTGTGTGCTGTTGAACTAGGATTTGTGGCAGGGACAACACAGATACGAGTAGCTGCTGTTGTTACCCTGATGTTGGATACTGCAGTTCTTTCCACATTGGTTTTGTATTTTTCCAGCTGAAGGAAAAAAGTCTTTTAAAGTTACTGCATATTTTGTCAACTCTTTCATTTTGACTCAGACCGTATGAAGCACATACATAAAAGAAGTCTACAGAGAGATAACTACACTAGTTTTCAGTGACAAGGTTTATCTGTATTTTAACAGTTAAACCCACTATGTTAATAAAACAAGACTTCTGAACAATAATCCTGCTCAGTTTCAGTATTTTCCCCATCCCTCGTATTTTAGAAGAACACAAATAGATAAGCATTGTAAAGTACAGCTCCATCTTGAATGAAGTAGGCAACTAATTCCCAGCTTATAAACAAATCTAGCAGTTCCCTACATGGCTGCATAGCAAGATTACGACTTAGTTACAAGGAGATACTGCAGCTGCTTCTCCCAAAATTTTTGTTAATTTCTGGGGGAAAAATCGCTTCTCATGCCAGAAAATGTCTAAATTTTACATGTAATTAAAAAATTTCTACCAGGCTTTATCGTTGGAGAGCAGGAAGGGCAGTAACATGTCCCTCAGATACAGCTCGTACACCCTCAGGCAAGTTCACGGTCCCAGGCGAGCAGCCTCCGTTCCACTCTGCCTGCAGGATTCCAAAATCCCAATTGTGATCATTGCTACATAGGATAAAGGGAAGAATGTGATGGATACTTCTATTTTCCAAGGCTTGACATGGAGCAGCATCTCTGGGGGGAAAGAGGAGTTAATCTTTGCAAGAGCTACTGAAAACAATTTAAGTGTTGTGTGTTGTGTTGCTGACTGGTTAAAACTGAGGAGTGTTCAGACAAACAGCGTTTAACCTCTGCAGATCCATGGATCTGTCTGACCCTGTCACACTTATCAGTTTAAGAGTGTTGAATTATAAATGAGATGCCTGATGTAAAACAAAAGAGTCTCAGAATACTCCAGTATGTTGACCCAGTTTCTGACTGCCAAGTCAGAAAGAGTGTACAGCTACTACTCTGGGATCTTCCACTTCCCAACTCCAAACACACGAGACTACAGGATTACCTCATGAAGCTCTGCCTGTGAGACTTGTGCTGTATGATGTATTTAAACTTCATTATGTGTTTGGAGATAAGCTGTTAGGAATGAGAACAGAACAATTGTATTTCACTTTCCTAAGTGAAATTCAACTCTATTAAATAAGAAGTAATACTCTAGGTGAGATATTTTTGAAAGGAATTTGTTCTACAAAGTTTAGATAGTATTTCTGTACCAAACATTTAATTCAACAAAGGATTGGTTACATCAAAAGTGATCGAATTTGAACAGAAAGTAAACAAAAATGCATATTCAAGATAGTTTAATATGTATTTTCTGAATTAGAAATATCACTTTCTTAAATGAATGAGAATCTCTAGTGTAATGATCCGTTACTCCCCTCCCCCATCACTGAATTACATTATTTATACATATAATACAGAGCCGATTGCCGTTGAAAACAACAATATTAAAATAAATGTTTAATAGATACAAAGGATCTTTTCTCCACAACATAGTTTTTCTGGTGTCTGAACACCAATTTTAAAGTAATTCTCTATTAGCATTAAACTATTTAAGTGCAAAACAATTTTGTTTTAAAAAAATCTATGATTGCAGCATCCATCTTCCTGAATAACATTTTGAAGCCAGAAAGTAATGACTTTCATTTTCCATGAGTGCATTCCAGGCTGTCTTCTAGCCATCTCTGGTTAAAAAAATCAGTGCAAAATAAACAATGGTGAAGTACTAGTTTAACCATTGAACTTACTTGAATTTAAGAAACATATCTTATTTTACACTATATATATATATATATATCTTTTATTTATATATTTATATAGAGAGATTAAATTACACTGGACTTGAAAAGTATAAAGAAAACCAAATATGTTACTACTTTTTCCTGCAGCACCAAAGGAAGCTTTTTGCTTTTTCTCCAATGCAAACTCTTCCTTGGGTGAGCAGCCTACCAGGATTGGCTGTAGTGAGAACCCATTGCATTTGTCCTTTGCAAGTCACTATGTGATTCACATAATTCCATGTTTACACTCTGCCACATTAAAATTTGTGATGCTCTTTGCCTGAAGAACAGCTCCTGGTTCCACTGTCATTACTTCTTGTCCTGCGTTCAGAGATTTGCTAGCAGTAGTGTGATGGCTATACTACAGTTCCACTTGGAGAATTGGCCTGGTTTTGGGATGACAATAAACCCTGCAAACAAAGCAGTTTACATTAATCCAGCAAGAGAACCTGACATGAATTTTATAAAGTTCTTAACCTGAACCTACAATGAGTACAATTTATTTTTACCACCACTTGCTTACTCCAGACATCAGCACCTTCTTCTACACAGGCTCTAAGCCACCACGGTCTCAGCCAAGCAGCACACAAAGAGCTCTCAGTCGGGAACAAAACGTGTGCGTTTAGGACACGGAAAGGATCTGATCCCAGCATTTGGTTTAATCTACCTTGCACTTTTGAGTCATTGCGAACTGTGAAACTTTAAAAATCATACACCAAAAAAGTGATCAGCATTTTATTAGGGCAGTGACAAACAAACCTATTCCACTATCAACAAGTCTGACACCTGACCGGACAGGGAAACGCTCCATCTCTTTTATGTGATCGAGTATTACAAGCTTTGAATAGAAAAATACATAATCTAACCAAATATTTGTTTTGGTGATTTTAAAAGAGAATGGAACACTGACAAGAGCTCAGTAAAAGTTTCCCATGACAATTCAAGCTCACATTCAGGAAAGCTTTTTACCAGCTGCTTTAACCACCGTGCCATTCAAATCAAGAGAGACCTGTTCCATTTCAGACACAGCCCCGCGACTGCGCGGCCCCCTCGCTACACAGGGGCTACTGCTCTGGATTAAGGCAACTATACCTATGGATAGACCTGTGGATACCAACAGGCAGACTACAGTTCAGATTTGTGCACAGTAGCCTCTTTTTAATCATTCATGTAGAAGTAACTGTTTATCAGACTTATTTAGGAAAAGCTTAATATCAAAATACAATTTAGTGTTCTTTCAAGGTCATTATTTAGTTCTAACGAGTGCCAGCAGGCTGAGGAGCACTGGCAGCTGGAAGCACACCAGAGACTATCCCCATGCAACTCCTCACCATGTAGGCATGATAAATGCACTTTCAGCAACTCCCCTAAGCAGCTCCCATCTTAGGTCCTTACCTCAAAATTAGGATCCCGGGACTCAGATCCATCAAACTAGACAAGCTCAGGCAGCAATTAGCATACAAGTTAGAATTATGTCCCATCTTCAGAATCTACAGGAGCTCTTTCATGCTTGGATCCAAGAAATGAGAGGCCATGACTGATGGAAGAGGTGGAAAGAGGGCCAGACTGGCTGGATTCAAGTCATTAAGTTTCTACTAAAACCAAAGCCCTTCCTTTTAAAAAACCATCTGATCTACCAGTTCAGACACGTTATGAACCTGGATAGTTTGCTGGATTTATAGCAGACTCTGGATCTGTGTACATGTGCATACATTCCATATTTATAATAAACATGTATTTCTAATAAAGGATGTGGCACTTAATTTGTTGCCCTCCATAGATCTCACCTGAAGGAACTTGGACACTCACTTTTATTTGTACTCAGGTTTATCCAGGGGTTTTGTGATTCTCACACTGTTGAGGTAGACTGAAGTGGGTTGTTTTTTGCACTTGACATTCAGGCTGTGCAAAGATACTGCATATTTAATGAGAACAAGAAGCTTCCTAGTTATTAGTTAAGGACTAGATGGTGAAAGAAGGCAGAACTTTAGAGCAAACAAGCCACTGAAGCACTTATGAAATTTTTTACCAAGGAAGTTTTGTTGGAAAGTGATGAGGATGAATCAGAACTCTCTAGTTCATTACTGAAGCATTCTTCACAAGTCTATTAAATCCAGCAGCAACTGGAAGGTCTTTCTTGCCAGAAGATTACATCCACTAAACAACTTTCAAGTACCCTGGAAAAAGACGTCCAAAGGTATTATTTTCAGTCTTTAATAAATCAGCAATCCAAACTATTCATATGCAAATATGTGCTTTATAAGCACACAGGAAGCACTAGGGATGGCATGATATCAAGTCTTTTTCAACAGGCTCATAACCACACTAGAGAGAGGGAGAAATAACCACTATCCTAGTATTGGATTTATGCTGTAACACAACTAGTTTTTGGGAAACAAAAGGAAGAGTCATTCATTTTCCTAGAATTCCTCTAGAAACTGGCAGCACATACTGAAATTCAATGGAGTGCCTTATTCTCCATAACTACCAGCCACCCTGGAATTCAAGTTCCAAATGGAGGAACATGGAGTCAAGTCCTGGTTTCATCTCCCAGGCCACGAATTGCTCCCTGCTTTAAAGAGCAGCAGTGCAGATGGCTTTGACTGAGTCCTAGGAACTTCCACTATTTCAGTCCTTGCTCTGAATTAATTCTGCAACTCTGAGCAGGCAAGCCAGAGGAACACTGCTGTGGAAATGATCTCAAGATCAATATCCTCCTGCTCTTGCAGATGGAAAAAAACTTTGCAAGTCCTTCCTTAAAATGTGGGACCAGGCTACAATGGCCATTCAGAACTTCACTCCCACTGGAGAGACTAGAAAGTCTATGAGCATTTCCAAGTACTTCATTTCAAAAGACATATGTTCATATAAGAAAAGCAAGAATATGAATTTGGTTTTTAGGCACAGAAGTTTCACCAAAATGGTGAAAGCTCTTCATGTATCCTGAGAAACAACGAAGATTGTACAGAATTTTGCCATTATACCAGAGCCAAGCAAGGCTATGAAAGTTATGTCAGGTGTAACAGGAAACTTTAAAAACAATGTTAGAAAAGCAAGTGAGGGCTCAAATAAAATTATTCTTTTGCTACAAAAGTTCCCTATAAGAGTCTGGTCTGTAATACAAAGGGTATGGGACTAGAACAGTTGTAATTGTGTTCTCTGGAATAATACGATGGGTAAGGACATGAAAAAATATAAAAAGCTCCTGCCTGTAACTAAAGAATAAAGCCACAAGAGCACAGTGCCTGCTGTGATGGAACCACCCAGTCTGGTCAACGAGGTGGGAAAAGATGGAACAGAGGCTGCAGCAACTTACTGGGGCAACAGCCAAGCTGCCCCATTGAACAGCTGTGACAGGAACATGGAAGAGCAGAGCCATGGCAGCCACAGCTCTGCCAGGCAGTGCAGCAGCTTCAGGCTCTGGGACAAACACAGCCCACTGAGAAAGCAGCACAGATAAATTAAGAGACTGCTCAAAAAGGTTTTGGAAATAAATGTAGTGTTGTAGTAATAGTCTGTCAGCACATGGATCTAGCAGGGGGTGGGAAATGGAAGAGTTATGAGATACAAGGCAGGAATTTGATAAAACAATGTTCATCTCAACCTCGGAGGGTCCTCCAAGTGGGTGCTACCCCATCTGCCATCTTAATGGACACTGCGGATGACAAATGATAGATGCAGCTTTCGGAGGATGGTGTCAGTTTTCCTCAGTCAATTAGCGCTGAGTACTGAACAGAGGCTGTGTCAGCAGTAGCTGCTGGGGCTATCCATGTTTGTCCATGCATTCTCTGACTTCCTGAAACACACAGGACTTGGCATATCTGGTAAAAACAGGCTTGTGTGGGTAGGAATGAAAAGCCCCAACAAACAGGATCTGGAGGGTCATTTGCACCCGAGGTTCAGGGCACTCAGAGCTGTGGTCTGAGGACCTGCAGCAAAGACAAACCCTCCTCCCCATTCAGGAGACTGCACGGGTAGGTATTTTTTTAAAAATTCCACATACACTCCAGATGAAAGTCCGGCTTTTTTTCGAAAGACATGAAACATAAGGTTTCACAGCAGAAACTAATTCTATGAAAGATCAGTGTGTAATTGCTGCATTAAAAACAAAAACCCAGGAAGATACTATGATACTTCTAAGAAGGAAAAAAGTCAACAGTAACTCCTGAGTTAATATTTCCTTCATTTAAATTAGAAGATATTTAATTGGAGCCAAAGGTGCAATCATAAACAGCAAGTTTGGACAAATGAGTGGTTTACAGGAAGTACACGTGCTCTGTGCTCCTTCACGAGGCTCTCGGCACACGCTCCCTTTGCCCTGGACAGGAGCAACTCCCTTCAGGGAAACAGCTCCCTTGGCTCTCAGGAATGTGCTGGATGTCAAACTGCTCCTCTTTCTACTTTCTGTTTTGAAATTGAAAGGTATTAAAAACAAAGGGTTCAACGCAACAAACAATCCAATGTAAAAAAAAAAAAAAAGTCTCATAGAACACTTCACTAATGCAATTAAACCAATTAAAATATGGCTGAATTAACAAATGCCCATACAAAAATGGCACTGACTTGTTAAACCATTTCTACTATTCCCTGTATTTGAAATAATGGGAATTTATTATTTGAAAAATATTCCATGGGTAGTTTATTCTTATTTTGTTTAGCAAAGTAATCTTGACTGAGACCTTTGCTTGACAAAAGAGCCCACATCCATTACAGTATTTGAGCAATAATATGCCAAAAACAGAGTGAGATTTCTCCCATTTGTTTAAAATTCTGTAGTCAAATCAGCTGAACGGGTTTTAAGTTTTGCACGAACAAATTCTCCAACAGTTTCTTGTTAAATAAATGCTGATTCATTTGAATAAAAGTCTCTGAACTGCATATACTCACTAAATCAAATGTTAATCTCTAATGGAGATAAAATTGCTTAACTGAGAATGCTCAGGAAAGCACATGATGAACATTCACATAACATGCTAGAAATAGTTTGTATGGGATTTATGTATCAGCAAAGTTGATACCCTTCCTTACGCAGTTTGTGCATTCACTAAAAGGAATTTTAAATTTATTGTTTGTCTTCCATTTGCCTTTTTTTCTTTGTTCTAACAGCATTACAGAAAAGTATAAGTGCTTAAACCATTTGACACCAGACCTTATAAAAGACTGTAGTGGCTTCGAGGTTTCACTTGCAACTCCTCTTCTGTGTACATAAAAGAGGTTTTTTCCTAACAGACCTGTATCACCATTTTATTCATTGTCAACAAAAGGCAAAGTCAAGGCTGGTAGAAAACCAGCAGACTAACTAAAAATCTGTCCAGTGGTATTAGGCAAGATGACATCAAGAATAGGGTATGGTTGGTGAACGGAAGATAGGCACGTCCAAGAGGAAAAAAAAAAAGTTAAGATGCAACTACTTGTGTGCTGGGAAAGGCAAAAAAAGGCTTTTGCCAGCAGAGATCTGACCTGCCTGGAACAACAGGACCTTAAGCTTCACTTAGGTAGTAGAGGCTCACATGCTCAGGAACAGTTTCTCTAGTTTCCTCAAACTACAAAAGTCAGTAAGGTGTAAAATTTTCAGATTAGAAAATAACAAAATTGAGATAAACCAGGGAAAACCTAAGGGAAAAGCATATGGCTTAAGGCAACCCCATCTGGGTTTAGCTGTAAAGCGAATGTGGTCTCAGCAGAAGAAAAGAGGCAAATGAATTTGATAAGGTTGACCAGCAGCTACCTAAAATCCAGCTTAAAAACCCAGAAAATAACGTGATCATACAAGTTATTTCCTTGAGAAGTTTGTGCAACACTATTAAAGACAAGCAAGATGACGCCTTCATGTTCCAAGACATCTTTTTGCCAAATCTTCTCTGACCACAAACCCTGTGGAAGGTGGTTTTGTTTCAGGCTCATGCTGACTTCAGAGAAACTGGTTTGACCAAGCAGTTCTTGCATCATTTGATGTAACTGGATGTTCCCAGAAGCTTTCAAGCAGATTTCATTTTGTTCCTATACTGGCACCAGTTCTTAAATATACATTTATGTTCTATGTTTAGATCATCACAGTGGTCAATCAATACCTTCTGAAGTACCACAGAGTTCTCAAGTTCACCTAAGAAAGATGATTCCCTCAGCTTTAGTCTAGAGAGTATTTTTACATAAGAGACAAACAACACTCCTCCCTGTCAGTCTGGGCCCAAAGTAACTCACTTTTACACTGGAAATCCTAAAAAATTCCTTTGAAACACTTTAATAAATATCATTTGTGTGGCTCTTTCACCGGTTAACACAGAACCACTGCTGCAAGGGTGACACAATCCCTGGTCCCTCAGGTGGAAGGAGAATATCTTAAGTCTTTGCCGAAACTGACTCCAAGAAATTTTGCAGCCAAAGTTTTATACTAGTTTACTTCTGGCCGCTTGAATCAGCTCTATGAGCCACATCCTCGGGGCTGTAAATTCAGCATGCATTAGGTAAACACCAAGATCTAAAGCTGGAATCAAGAACAAACCCTGCATCAGAGTTCTTAGAGGAAAGAGCTCCTGTAGAGTCCTAGAAGGAATGACAACACTCTGCCCCAGCTCCTGCCTGACAGGCAGAGAGAATCTGAACACGTGCGTGTCTGTGTTCTACTGAATCTGAGTTTAAACAAGTTCGAAAAGTGGTCTGGTAAGTGTTCTGTTACATGTTACTCTAGGCCTAAAAAAATAGCTATCATAAGACATGACCTTATCAGCAAGATTTAAACATTAAAACATCTGCATGGTCTTGAGATGAAGTGAAACATTGACTCAGAGCAGTTACAGATGCCAACAGCTTCTGACTTTAAAATATGGCAAGTTAACAGTTTCATTGTGGCCATTTGCTCAGCACAGTGTGATAGCATAAGACCACCTAAGGACTGCAAGATAAATTAAAACTCAAATGTGGAAAGGACTATTGAAAGTTATCTACATTTACAGTTCAATCACACATTTTTATTTAACATCAGTATACAGAGGACAACCCCAGCAAGTTATTTTGTAATGTCAAGTATTTAGTAAAGTTCTTCAGCTGTAACAGTGACAATAGAACAGCTAAAAATAAGCAGTATGAAACAAACATGATCTTCTTAAAATTATAAATATACCAACAATACTTCTTAAAGCTTAATTATTGCAACAGTTAAATTAACAATAGTTCATGTTAGAAAGGCTCTATGAAATTTATTCAAGTTGTCAAGAAATTAGATGGAAGTGTAAAAAGGAAATACATATGAATTTTACTTTTGATTTTCACTAAAGGTAGTCAATACAATTTTGTACAGTATCACCTAACATGTCAATCTTTAACAAACTCCAGTATACAGAATCATAAAATGCAGAAAAAATAGTTTAATCTTTACATGTAAATTGACAGTAAATTAACTGACACAAATTTTATTATTGTAACATAAGCAGGCCAGCATTTTAAATATTAATTTAGTAGCTTTATGTTGTTAAAGGGGCAGACATATACAGTCATTCCAAGTACATACTCAAATTTTAAGAGGTGATAATTCAGAACATGGGTTTTCTAGAAAGTGTTTAGTAAAAGTCATGTTATTTCCTAGTCCAGACATCCTAATCATAAAGCCTTTACAGGGTTATGATCTCTCCTGGCTTTACTGGAGCCACTATTCACACCTCCTCACACACACACACACACACACATACCTTGCTATAAATATCACACCAGTGTACTAGGCTTTAATTCACCCTGATAATGGGGGTAGGCCATGTGCAACTTTGCTATTATGCACATTACAGAAAGCTTCAAATTTTAGCATGGTAACCTGATGTCGTATAGCTGTGTTTCAGTTTTACTATAATCATCCCTGAAGTTTATACAGATACCGTATCACGTTGAAAGAAATCTATTTGATAGTACTTAAATACCAGCAATTGAACTTCAATTGTAATGATGAAATGCTCCTTTCCATTGAGGAAGAATTAGTATGTATAGCTGCTCATCTCACTCAAATATAGTACATGAATGTTTAAGTACTTTCACTAAAACAGAAGTCATACTAAAACATGATACTGTACTACAATTGTAGTTAACTAGAAAATTCAAGGATGTTATAATTTAAGTCTAAGTTTTCCTGTACAATAAGTCAAATAAATAAATTCCATGTGCATTTGTTTTACAAAGTGGTAGCATGTTTCTCTTGCTAGGTTATACACTGCCATTTCTCCTGGGGGTGCTTCTGGCCAATCTTACCTCGAGCTTTCTCACCCAGGAAACTCATCAGCAACTTTCATTCACGTAAAATGGAGTTGCTGCAAAGACGGCGAATAGTCAGTTCTAAAGTCAAACACGGGAATCACACAGGTAGTGCCTCTGACCACTAAATTTAGAAAAAAGCTGTTTTGCATATCCAGGTACCACTTTGTTTTTCTGAGAGTTTTGTTGGGGTTTTTTAATTGCTTCTGCAGATCCTGTAATTCAGTTTGAAGTAGCTATATAGAGAGCACATAAAGTTTACCTTGGTTCCTTTAAAATACTTTTGCTATGTTTTCAGATTAATCCAAGAGTTCTGTAATCCCATTTAGGTTTCCTATCAGGGCCTGGGAAAGGCAGGGGTGAGAGATGACAGCTCATTGTCACCACGCTGAGAAGAAAAGTTCATACTCTCGTTAAGGCAACCTATTTTTCTCACCACCTGAACCTTATTCCACAGAAACAGGCTAACAAAAAATAAGATTAAAAAATTGAAACTAGTGAACCCTGAGCCTCATCCAACTTGCTTCTAATTGAATTTTGCCATTCACTTCACCTCACTGACTGGGATTTCACACAGCAGTTCTGGAAGTGCAGTGCAAGAACGGCACATCCCGTGAGGAAGCTCAAGGTATGATTTTGGACACACAGAAGCAATAATTTGGAAAGTTTAGAAACAAACTGCCAGGACACTGTCAGCACCGTACAGCCTATCAACTATCATAAGGATCATGGCTGAAGAGACACTTTGGATTTATTTTCCACTCAGGGCAGCGCCAGCCCAACCAGAAAAATAAACAGAACTTGTCATACACTGTCCAATTATCCAACATGTCTTTTGATGGATATTGGAAATGAGAGGGAAAGGTAGGTTCAATGGGAATTACGTTAGACACCGCAAGCCTCCTTCACTTTTCCATCCAATTCTTTCTTTAGGCTGGCAGTGGCATCAATTTATTGAAGGCCTTTTGAAGGCAATGATGGAAACAGCAGCAAGATTCAGAGGCTTTCTCTCTACAGAGTTAGCAGACAAGTAAGTGATGGAGTTTTAAGATCATTTGGGGACCCATATTTCAAAGGAAGACTAGAAATAGCAACTTTAAACCCCAGAGTAATGGGACAGCCTACAATAAAGCAGCTGGTGAAACAGAAATGATGGTATATAACCCAGTAAGAAAGACATCACCATGAGTGTTTTATACTTTGACAATTCTCATTAAATAAAATTAAGTGCTTTCCTATAAACAAAAAGGATGCTCATAACGTCCTTCTGGCACAAGTATTTTCTTATCAAAGCCCTGTAAACATGCCCTCAAAATTTAGTTTTTACCAGCAGAGTGAGCTCACTAGAAATGCAAGTGAAATCAGAAAAACAAATTAATTTGAAAATTTCTAAGTAAATACATCCTAAACAATATGGCATTTACATCAGTGTGCAATATATTAATTTTGAAAGTGATAACTTCAGCATGAAAATTACTTACCTGTAATTAAAGTTTTCCATATTGGCCAATACATAAATCCTGATTTTTGGTACTGCATACTTTATCTCTGAAATATTTGAAATGTCATATTCCAAATCAAAGTCAATACACAAAAATATTTAAGTTATACTCAGTCTAACAAAACCCACCTCAGCCACTGAAAATAAATGTAACAATGTAGTGTTTAGTAGTATGCAAAGGAATTTTAGAACCAAAAGAAAATATAGCTCACAATAGCAATCTGAGGCACTGCTGTAAGCATCTAAAGTTAATTCATAAGATGTGAAGTGCACTGAGTCACAAAAGTATAACTGCTTTAGTATTTTAATTTAGGACAAATGTTTTAAACAGTTTAGTATTCTGAGGGGATGCTCTTTTTTTTTTCCCCTTCATTAATGCTGGATCTCTAGTTCTGAGACAAAAAAATACTTTTAGGTAACACCCTCCTCCCTTCTCCCCAGAGAAGGGTTTACAACTTTTAGTTTTAGATTCAACCTTTAAATATGCATTAAGATGCAGAGCAGACACAGCTCTCTATGCATACACCTATGTTGTGACAAATTTGATAACATCTCAAAGAAACCTACGTTATACAAACAGTTCTAAGAAAAATTGAGTTTTACTTGAAAGTTTATAGCAATGAAGATGTGGTATCTAAATATATACAGTACCTCCACTTCAAAAGTCAGATTTATGAACCAAGTGGTTAAAACCTAACGAACAACAGATTTTCATTTAGGTTGCCCCACATGGCAATATTCAGGTATTACCAGATAATCTCTTTTACTTCAGGTGATAATCTACATCCCCTTTCAGAAATTTTCACCAAAATAATGGTCCTTTTTGCCAGACCAACTCTGGTAATGTTTTCATAGCTGTATCCCTTTGAACTGTTGCTGGCAGACAGAGCTAATGTAGCACAAAGTACTTTTTAACAAAAGAATCACCACATTTAGCTTCATTAAAAATTTAGCTTGCTATACATTGGACAGAAGGAAAAATAAATTTTTATAGGTGTTCAAGTGCATTAACAACAAGAGTTAGAACTAGTAATAGATTTTAATGTAGGTTCAATTGATGGAACAGGTGCCATCAAAAGCACGAGCTTGTCGATGATCAAATTGCCTAAAACCTGACAGGAACAAAACACTGAAACTACTCAGAGAAAGCCTGCAGGATTTTATCTAACTTAAATACATAAATCAATACCTGGCTAAAATTAGAGTTTCTTGATAATACTGATTCACAATTTCAAGAACATAAGCTACAGTCAGTATAGGGCTCACAAATCTGTGCATAAAATGCCTGATGTTTGAATAAGAAGTGGTTTCACATTAATGGCCGGCCACCACAGAAAAGTATGAAGGAATAAAACACTTTGGCTTTAATTTTTTCAGAGGCTCACAATTCTCATTAGACTTAAAAGCAGCAGCTTTTCGTAAGCTACTCTCATTGGGAGTGCTGTATTTTGTAGAAAAAGTTAGTAGGATTATAATTATTTTAGTGTTTGACAGGTTTTACTTCAATTTTTACATAAACAGCTTTCACCATATTGTGGTTATGCTTAAGTATAAGAACACTGATCAATAGTTTAGATGCACAGTATTTATTTCTTCTGCTGGAAGGCAACTATACTTAATAATTGTATCCAAGACACTTCAAATCATTCAGAAATATGGCATGCAGTATCCAAAAGTATGGCTCTGAGGATATTTTTTTTTACATTAAGCATAAAGAAATTTTATATTCAACATTCATTTATATTTCAAGAAAACTATCTATTCAGAGTTCTAGTTCTTTGATGCAGCATTAAGGATTAAAACTTACCACTTTACCAGGCCTTGCCCATGTGCAAATAAATCCCTCCTGACAAGCAGTGACTATACAGTCTTCAAGAAAAATTAACACAGTCAGTCTTTCATGTGCTATCTTTTTACAGATAAGAGGCTCTAACAAGGGAACATCTTCCATTCGGGGACAGAGAGGTGTTCCCAAAGTTTTAGCTGGGTCCGTTTTGGTTTTAGTAACTAGGTTCAGTTTGTCACTGCTCTTGCTAGATATATGTCCCATGCTATGGTTTCTCTTGTGATCTTTTTCATGGTGTCTTTCCTTCCGATCATGTAGCGATAAGGTTGCAAATTTACTAACGCCAGAAGCAATGGCACCATCCATGACACTGCTTTTACTGCCAGCATTTGAGACTGCAGAGTGTGGAAGGCTGTTTGATCGTGGAAGAGGAGGGGGTACAGAGTTTCCAGGTGTTGTGATACTGTTTCCATTACTTCCTGGGTTAGTTCCACCACTTCCTGCAGGTGGACTTGTGGCATTCATGACATTTGTATGTGTCCTTGCTCTTGAGAGAGGTTGGTGGGGGAAGAGGATATCTTCTGTAAGATCCCACAAACAGAGCTGTGTGTCCTGGCCTACTGAACCAAATCTATATGTAACACTTACTGGACGACTGTCTGTAGAGTTCCTTTTGGATAATCTAGATTGCGTGCTATTGGCTCGATCTCTGCCAAAATGGAGGTCTTGGAAATCCTCATCACTTCCGCTAAATTCCATCGGGTCACTCTCTTCTACACTAGTGGTATATGGATCGAACGCAACGACACTGACCCACGATTTGTGTCCGTGGCCTCTCGCTATGACTCGACAGTCCACGAAAGACCAAACTGTCACCAAGTCATCCTCTCCGCCTGTCACTATGTACTTCCCATCGGGACTCCAGCACACACACAGCAGTCCTCCAAAGTAGCTTTTCATTGTACCATGCAATTCCACCGAATCAAAGTTAAACACGCGAAGAAAACCATCCTGGCTCACGCACGCCAAGAACTTCCCATCGGGGGAAAAGGCAAATTCATTCAGGGCACCCTCACCTACTGTCCATTTAAGCAGAGGGTTTCTTGTGGATTTACTCTTGCAAGTGTGCACTGCAAAACTCTCTCCTTGTTTAAGTAGCTGGTAGTGCGGGGCTGTGGTACCACAAGTGTGCTCCACGTTATACAAGTACATATTGCCACTGGAATGAGCTACTAGGAAAAGGCTTTCCGAACCCGGTACCCATTTTACACAGGTTACTCTGGACTTGTCTATTAGTCTCTGTGAAAAACAAAGAAGATACACATCAGAAAGTCTGAAAATTAAAGTTTTCATGATTAACTGTAAATCTGAGCTCTCTGGGGAATGAGGAACAATTACTTAAAGTGAACTCAACTTTCTAGACAGGAACTATGTTACTGTATTTGCAAAAACTTATCAGGCAGTAAAGAGGAAATTATTTTCAGACAAAGTACTTTCAAAGGTTGTTATTATGGTCCAGTCACAGTCCACAAAGATCATACTTCAATCAAGCCAATCTGTTGCTATGAATCTGAGGGTAGTGCTCTTAGGTTTACTTTTCCCTGTGTAGGTTGAAGAACATGAAAATGAAACAAGAAAACACCGAACAAGCTAGAAGGGAAAAAGGCAGTTACTCATCTGTGTTATAGAGCAAACAGTTTACAAATCAACAACAGTAAATTCAGGCTCTGTTTTTATCTGAAATCACAAAAAAAATCCAACCTCTGAAATAGAGGCTTTAGGAGCCTCCAGCAGCTTTTACTGATTCAGGGAGCAAAGGCTACACACAAAGTGACCTTGTTATCATGTGGATGGAAAGTCAGTAGGTAAATGTGTGTGGTTTGGTGAATTCAGAAGGTACCACATACTCTTCACCTTGGAATCCCCACCATCCAATTACTTTTCTTTCAAGAGCCAAGGACCTGCCAATACTGTTACGAACTGATCAAGCAGTTTCTTTTAAAGCAAAACATTTTTATCGAGTCTATCATTGCAAAAGAATGAACAAACATTAAACAAATGCTCCTGGTCATGATGTCTTCAATGCTCTAAGAGGTAAAGTTTGACTCCTTGAGTTTGCTACTGAAGTTCTGTTGGACTTCTAAAACTTACCAATTTGACCACAGCACCACTCAGCTGCAACTTGCAGACAAGTAATTCTTTACAAGCACATTCAAGATTTGTACTTGGCATACTGGTTATAAGCTGAAAGAAGAGCTGAGCTACACAAGGCAAGAATGAAAATACAAAGAGCCTAAGGGATACCAGAACAAGTTACAAAAGCCTTACAAACAAAGAAGAAAAAAAGATTCCCCAAAAAAAACTTACTATGCTGCTTGTCATACAGAAAAAACCCAAACTAATGGATCCTACATTGACTGTTACATTTCTGGGCCTGTAACTGTCACTGGAAAGCAGCACCTGGCCATTTTAGATTATACTTTTCCTGCTGTCAAGCCTCAGTGTAAAACCAGTGAATCTTTCTCCTGTAATTCCTCATTGGTTAAATTTGCCATGCTGTATTTGAGAGCTGAGAGATGTAACTAAATCTGGCAAATTTGGTTCAAATTTGGCAGCTTTAAAGTAATATATTCTGCAATTCTGTTGTGATATCTTAAACAGTTTTTCAAGTGTTCACTGATATATCATTCAGGTCTCAATAATGATGATATCAGAAATTAGACAGGTACGCACCTGCACGCATCAGGAGAACACAGACAGGGAACATCAGCTCTCTGGCTTGCTAAAGGTGACAGTCTTCTCATCACTAATATGGCAGCAAAAGCAAAGTTTCTTGCTCTCCTCTACTAAAGCGGCTCAATCTGACATACAACCTCTACTTGGAAGAGCAGCAGCTCAACTTTTATATCAGAAATGGCATTTGACATCCATAATCACGTTGGGCTACATGATCCTAAATACTGCACAGAAGACCTGCAAACCTGATCTTTACTGCAAGGAGGCTGTGAAAAACAGACAACTGCAATTTGCAATGAGAACAGATCAGCTCAAGGAGACAAGATGCAGAGAGACTTTAAGTCAATGTGCAGCAAGTGACTACAACTCATCCCCTTCTCAACCAGCAGAGCTTTAAATTCAGCAGGAAGATAAAAACTCTGAAGTTATAACTTCTAGCAGTTTAATTTTGTCACAGTTGGAAGGAGTACCACTGTTGATACAGACTGATTTAGGCAGGCAGTCACAAGCTGCACAGTATCACTCACCTCAGCCTTTCAAGTCCCTACTGTCTTCTACATTAATAGAATTTAAAAAAAAAAAAAGAGGAAGAGTAACAAGTTAAAATGCAATAGCTTTAATGTAGTCTATGTTTAACATAACTCAACCTGTTATGACACAGAAGGTTATTTCACATATCACACATGGCTAAGTGCTATCACAGGTAATAGTCCAAACAGAGCTTTGGGCTTCCTGAATCACCAAATTATTAACAGGACAGGTGGTGAATTCTATTACCTCTAGCACTAGAGCTAGAGCTGTTGAACAATGTAAACAGTCATTTAGACCACCTTATGAAGAAATGTTTATTCTTAAACACTACCTAAACTCTAAATATATTCAAAACCCAACAGGCACCTTCATCTTGAAGCAAATGAACTGGATCAAACATCAGTGCTCACTAATGTTTCTCTGAAATGGCTTTTAGATACAAGCCAGAACTTAAAACATGTCCAGGGCAAACTTCAATACTGTAACTGACAGATTAAAAATATATAAAAGTTTTATCAGAGTTAGTTATAACTGCAGATAAGGTCAGTATAGGAAACAAGAATTTGTCATTTAACTGCAGCCTGTGTGCATAGTTTTTTGGTAGCACTGAGCAAATCCTTATGTTAGCCTGGTAGAAAATATATCACTTCATTTAAATTTCCACCTGTCAAAGGACATATTCCCACCACAGTGAAGTAACCTGGCTATAGCACAGATGAAAGGCAACTACAGTTCAGCTACAAGAGTTTGGGAGCTATTCTGTGATATGAAACTAGCTGTTCAAAGTATTTCTGCTCCCATTTGTAATACTTACACTATTATCACACAAGAATAAATCAGGTTGTATTTTTGGGGGGAGGGATGTTAGAACAATGTGCTAAGATTAACATTTCAACTACTTATACAGAAATTTCTAACCAACAGAGTACTCCATGCAACATTAAGAGATTCTCCAGCACTGTTTCCAACTCAACACAAGCAGAGAGACAGAGCAGTTGGGACAAGGCCAGGTAACAAGAAAAACACCCCTCTTCTGATCTACATGTAGCTACTTTTAGAAAGCTGAGGAGAAATGAGTTCTAATTATAAAACATCCCCATTGAGAACAATATTTCAATGTACTTTGCACAAAGAAGAAGCAAGGTAACACATCTCTCTGAGATGGGAAAGGTATATTTGCTCAGCTTGAAAGCTGAGCGATGTTTAACTTCATCTGCAAAGTTCTGATCCAGATCTGAAATTTCTAAAAGGAAAAGAAAAACAAACAAAAATCCCACAAACAAAACAAACCTGCAAACCCCTCCACAGCGCTGGATTAAAACACAAAAGGAGCAAAAGACCATCCCCTTAAAAGAAAATCACCTCCTCAGACCACACAAATTCCTGTAGCTTATCTCGTGCAGAAAACATTGTCAAAAGTTGTCCCAGTTACCAGATTTCTTTCCTTGTTGGCACCTGGACACTTACTCTTCTAAGAATGCCAATACTACAAGATAAGTAGAGCCAGTGGTCCTGTAACTTGGCATTAGTGTGCCACATAGTACTCCTTCTATCTTTCCTTACTGCATAGCAGCAGAAAAAGCAGATGGAGAGTTTCCTTCAGGAACATCACATGGCCAAGACCTCATAACCCTTCAGCTTTTTCAATGCAGCACTCAGCTTGATATCCCACTCTTCTCCAAACAAGCCTTTAGGAATACTCAACACAGGCAGTTTCCACTGTAACGTCCTGACCATAAAAATTGGTATTTTTAACTTATTTAACATTTTGACCATAATGCATTAGTTAAGTAGGGGTTTAAATGCTTTTTTTCTTCATTGGCAACCAGAAGCCTCAGAAACAACTGACTGCAGAGCACACACAGCAACATTTAGATTTGTAGACCTTATTTCCATCAGTAAACTGTCATCAACTAGTTACAGTACTACTCAAATCAGAAAGTCCTTATTTAATCTTAAACCCCATAAGATGCCTTCATGAATAGCATTTTTGTGTAGGTATTCCAAGCCGATGGAACAGCTGAAAAACAAAGGCTGCAACTGAACAAGAAACTACATGGGCAAAAGGAGCCAGCTACAGAACTCTGAAAATCTAGGAACTTCAATATCACAGACACACTGCATGCAACAATGTTAAGATTTCTACTTACTTCCTCATTAAATAATTTGCTAGTTTCTTTTTTAATAGGGTCTATAAGCTGGACCTGGCCTGCGGAGAAGCCCACTAGAAGAGACACACTTTCTGCTGTGGCTGTTAAGTGATTGAAGTCATGGCATGTAGGCTGTGTTCCTTTGTATATCCTTTTGTCTATTGGTTTACTCAAGTCCGCAGCCTGCAAAGAGAGCAAACAGAATTAAGACAGTTTATCACAACGTGTGCACATAACCAGATCTATTTGAAAATAATATTTATACTAAGCAACAACTTACGCAGTCACGAAAACCCTACTTTAAAAAGCAGCTGTTATTTATCGAAGACATCTGAGATCTTGTCAAAAGGTTTATCTCTTTATATTATACAAGTTGTGTTTTTCAGTTTTGCTACAAACTATACCTGCCCTTGCTTTTGCAACTACAGCACGAGACAAACCAGTGACAACCACTCAGCATTACAAAGGCTCCTGTGAATCCTCAAGATCCCAAAAGTCTGCTCCTGCCAGAAGAAGCATTCCATCCCAGAAACGAGATATCTTCTATTTTTCTAGTAGCAGCTTTCTTGAGTACAACCAATTCTGCATTAAAAATAGCATATTCTCAATCACACAATTCTTGAACTGTATGTCTATCCTTTAATAACAGGCAAACATGCGACATTGTGCTCCACAGTTACAAAAATATCAACCAGATCCTAGGAGAGCATTTTCTAGGAACAGTGATTCAAGATGCTGATACTGCAATTATAAAATACATTTTACACCACTGAGCTTCAACGTAATTGTGTGTCTGACACTGAAAACAGAATTCAAATATAGCTCTGACAAAATAAGTGCTAACAAAACTGAGGAACTTCAGTATAAACAAATGAAGATCTAGCACTAAAGTGTCAGAAGAATCAAAAGGAACAGAAAAGCAATTTAAAATGCTCTCTCAGTTGTGTCACCCATGTTTATCCCCATATCTCTTCTGAACAGACAACTAAATCTTTCATCATCCAGAGATTAAACCCCACACATTTAATATGCAAGATCATACATCAGGTTCAACCTTGTTTTTTTAACCTCCCTATTTATGAGGTTCAGAGTCTGTAATTAGAAAGTTGCAGATACTCAACAATATTACAGGCCTCAGATGTAGCTGTGATTTGGGGTTTGGATTCTAATTTTGATATATACTTTTTCAGTATTTTTAGTCAGAGGAAATCAGGCCAGAAATAAAAGAGAGAGCAGACAAGCCTCACATAAAGAAAATTGCTCAGTGTATTAAACCTTTGAGGACGAGGTCTAAAGAGCAGCAGATCCTTGGTATGCATGGAGCTACACAGAGAGAAACTAGACCTGTCAGTAGGGGAAAATCCTACCTAGCTACTGAGGTGAGCCATTTCCAAGGCAAATTTTAACTACAGGATATGTATGATAAGCACATATACACAACAGTGTTAAAGTTGCACTTATGTTTTACAGCATATATTATAAACCAGTTTAATCAGGTGTATGGCCTCCTGTTTGAAAACTCCAAAATGAGATGATGTATTACAACTTCTAAAGTCAGCAGATTAAAAAGTTACTCTCCAGAGCCCAGAGATCCATTATAAGCTAAAAAAGTATATTACCAACACCTCTTCAAGGAGAAATTAAATAGAATACTAGTTCAACTGGGAGATCCCTGGATAATATGCATGTCTAGCACAGAGCATTCACAGACCGATGTAAATCTGTAATTTGAAGCTGAAAGATCAAATCCTAGAGGCCATGCAGTTATATCTTAAACTGTGTAACACTCCCTTGTCCTGTTTTGTCACTACAAAACAAGTGATGTCAACAGCTAACTCTCAAAATTGAGGTAGCATTTCTATCTATCTGGAAGACCATCCTACAGAAACACAGAGATACATCCCTCCATATCTCCAATAAATGCAGAATTAAAGCAAACATATGAGACCCGAGGTTCTGTCCTTGGGACAAAAGTTGCAGCAGGACCCAATGTCTAAAACTGAAGATTCATTCTAGAGTAAACAGAACCCAGCCTGAATCATCCTGAATAACAAGAGAACCAGACTCCCCCAGACAGCAGAGGACATGGGTATTCCCAGGTTCTTCTTCTGAATCCTCACTATCCCTTTAAGCAGCAAAGAATCAATAGGTGGCTATGTTCAGACTCTAACTATACCTTGCTCTTTAGTCTGATTGAGGTTTTATATCACTAGCTTTTGTTTTTGTTGTCCAACAACTTTGGTGTGCCTAAAGTTCCTCGTCTTACGAAATTGTGTGGTAACACAGAGCAAGACATGAAAGTCTGATAAATTAAATCTAAGCACAGATTTCACTGTGCTTGTTCTAGCTGTTCTCTGGGAACCAGATGGCAGTGAGAATCTGTCTGAACTTAAATGGAGTATAAATAAACTAATTCAACCCAGAATTAACCAGGCTTCTACTGACAGGGATGCCCCGCCTTTTATTTCCATGCAGCTACTGCTACAGTACAGTTGTCTCATGGAGGTAAGTCACATCTGCAAGCACAGAAGTACTCCTTTGGTCTAGATTTCTCCTAACTGAAAGAGCAGAATCAATGGGTGTTAAGAACTATGAGACATTTTCTGTGTTTCTGCATGGCTGAAGGTTGCTGTTGGATTTTGCTAAGGACAAGAAAAGTGCTTACTCATAACATTGAATCGTGCCTGGGACTCAGCAATTCATTAGCTCACCACTAAGTCCATTTGCTCTTTTGTGGAAGACATGATTCTCAGAAAAGAGCTTTTACATGAGACCTGCATCTATAACTGTCAAATCCTAGGATCTGACACTATTTACTGAACAAGGTGATATGAACTGCCCCCTCTTAGAAGAACCGTGATGTACTTTGAAAAAAACCAGAAAGATCCTGAGATTAAGCGTTACCAGACATGGAGGTTAAAAGCACAGGACCAGGCACCCTCACCTCTACTTGAGCTGGCAGCAGGCTATTTGCACACTTCTTGTCCCAGTGCCTTTAAAATTTTCTTATGGAAAACTCTCAGCACTATTCCAGACTGTGCACTTTGAGAAACCTGCTCCATTGTGGATGATTCATAATGAGAGCAACTCTTTGTAATCACGACTGAATGCAGCCTGGGGCACCTAATGCAAGTCTAGGAATGAGCACCATCCTCTCTTACCTGTGCAAGCCTTGAAGTCCATCTCAGCTAATCAAGGTTGGTACTGGCACCTTGGCCAACTGATACCTGCACTAAAAGTCTGTTCCTCTGTACAGGGGTACTGCAAGTACCCCCTGGGCAAAGGAACAAGGAATAACAGTTGTTAGACAACAAGAGGAACCTCACACACCTGTTTAAAGCCAGTGATACAGCTGAACAAAATCAGGGCACTTTGGGCATCAACAGCTTCCGAGTCTTGTCTCTGAACAGATTAAAACTGTATCTTAGAAAGCCTTACACTTGCTCACAGAAGAAAAATTGACCAACTTGCCATTTAGGTTTTTGTGATGAATTCCTACTCTAGAAATAAAATATGAACCATGTAACCGTTTGGGGGACTTCCTAGTCTCATGTCGTTAACTCTCACAACACTCTATTTTAGCAAAATTACTCCTACTCTCCTGGGTAGGGAGGGAGGAAAAAAATAATAATCTAACAGTCAGTAGCCCATTCACCCTGGATTCATGACTTCCACTAGAAAGGCAGTCAAACTGAACATATTAATCACAGCTTTAAGTACATAAACATTAGGAAGCAAATGGCCAAAGGAAAAAAAAGTTTCCTTAGTCTGAAGCAAATATTTAAGTTTTCAGATTCTGATGTCTGATTAGGATGGGCACCAATAACCTTGGTTCTGTAGCTGAATGTAATTCTAAGGTCAGAGCCAGATTAATATCTGTCCAAGATTCATTTTATTGATCCAAGACTTAGAGCTTTCATAACAAGATTGTCTAAACAGTGAATCACATTATTTCAAGTCAACATTTAATCATGCTCCTTGACAGATGTAATTTCTTCCTGTATCTCTTCTTTTCCTAACTTACATTTGCAGCTTTCTGCAACTTTTACTTGAAAGAAATGTGTCATACATGTTACAATTCCTTCCAAACTCAAAAACATCTCCAAGATCATAAAAAAATTATTTATTAATTTCCTTCAGGTAATTTCTACTGTAGTCATCAAAATGCTTCCTTCAGATACTTAGTAGTATTTAATATCACATTTGCCAGGAGACTGGCTTTCAGTGGGTCACAGCTGCAAGACTGAGACAGAATAGTGAGGGCAAACGTTAAACAAAAATTTTACTGCCAAAAAACCCTCTTGAGAAGGCTGTGGATGTTATAATGCTGTATAAGTAACAGGAGAAATCAACTGCTAGAATTATTACTAAGTGAGTTTCATTGAACTTCACAGATGCTCTTTAAAACCCAGCTGAAAAAAGACAGGCAAGGAAACCCTTGCAGCAGCACTTTGCCTTACAGAGTCTCCTAGTGAACAGGGCAGGGCCTTCCCAGACAGACTTGCTCACTGCATTAGCAAGGACAGGAAAACTAAGCCAGAAGGCCCCTTACAGCCTGTTTATTCCTCCTCCATGTCTGTGCTGGTCTCCCTCTCCTTCCTGCACAATTAGACAAAGAACAGAGAAAGCTGAGGAGTACAAGAAAGCAAAGTTATCCCAGGCACTTTTGTAGAACTTTCTGGCAAAGTCTGTTCATTGTTTCTGTACATGAATCTCTGCCAGAAATACCAGTTTCAATTCTTCACACTGGAAATCTCTCTAATTACTTTATTATCAAAGGAGTAGATTTCTAGGTATTTTTTTTAATAGCCCAAATACAGATCACTTAATATTAGCAACAGAATAATTTATAGTTACATCACCGTTGTTTCAAGCTGGTCTGATTTCACAGCTGACCCTGCTTTGGGCAGTGTAGACTGGACACTTTTAGAGGTCCTTTCCTATCTGAATGACCCTGGGATCCTAAGCTTAGGATCAACCAAAGCAGCAACATGGCCACTCCCAGCTTACTTAACATGTCTGGTTTATGTCTTAAAGGAACTTCAGGAAGCAAAAAAAACCTCCAGGAACAAGCTGGTTGTCTTTCCCTACAAGAAACCACTGATGTAGAGCAAAAGTTCTGCTTAGTTTATATTAAGATACACAACAGAAAGTCCAGGCAACACTTCCTGCAAGTATAAAGC